GCCCCCCGCCGCCGCCGCCGCCGCCGCCGCCCGCGGCCACGACCAGCAGCTCAGGTAGGGCCGGCCCGGGGCTCCCCGGCCGCGTCCCGCGCCCTCCTGCCCGCGCGCGCCGTTTGTTTCCCTTTTTTTTTAATTCTTTCCCCCGCTGTTTTTCCTCCGCCCGTCCCAGACTGTTGCTCAGCCAGCCTATCCAGCCCATGATGCCCGGGTCCTGCGGCGCGAGGCGCGCGGCAGAGCTCAGCGGCGCTGGATCCCAGGCTAAGTACGTGGCTGGGCGGAGGGGAACGCGCCACGGGCGCTTTCGAGGGGGAAAACAGCCCTCTGGATAAACTGTCTGTAAATAACGCTGTCCACGTCAGGTGGCGACCCTTCCTATACCGGTACCTTAAATTTAAAAACGCTCTGGTGTCCAGTGTGCTTTTAAGCAACTCTTGCTATTCTAAAACTTTTCTTTTTTTTTTTCCATCTAAAATGCTCTGCTTCAAATATAAATACAGGGCTCTTCAAATATAAATACAGACGGCTTAGATCTGCTTTTAAGCACCTCAGTAAGGCCTGATTTTCAGATACACATCTCCCAGTTCTTGCTTGCTGCCTGACTCACAGGACCCTGTTGGGAGCTCACGTCCCCGTCCGAGTTCCCAAATCTCAGCATTTTCATCCGACCCCTAATTTCGAACAGCTGTACAGCAAAAACCGCACCACACGATGATCTCATCAGCCATTACAGGATAAACAGCATTCAGCCGGGCTGGCAGCAGCTCCGTTGTGGTTTTGCCCCAAGCCTTCCACAAAACAGCAAGTATTTAAGTTCTGCAGTGCAAAGGCAGAACTGGCAGGAAGAACCAAGTGTTTGGGGGTTTGGCCCGTCCGCCTTTCTAGAGGGCAGGCTCTGTGTTTCTCCTGTTCCTGTAATGTGGCTCATAGCTGGGGGAATTGCTGACGATCCTTGGCAATTTGTACAGGAGCCGCTTAAAGAGTAATCAGCCTTGCCCATCTTTCTGCAAGGGATTGGCAGTGGTCGGGGAGCACAGGCAGCAGAAAAGGAGCTGAGCTGCAGCTATTGCAGTTGGGAGCTCAGCATGTTAATGTAAAATCAAAGGGCATTTGCTTTCATGAGCCTGGGATGTGGAGGCAGGGGCTGGAGGGAAGATAGGCCTAAGCTAGGCTCTTCAGTAAGCCTAAAAAGGGGTTGGTTTTTGAGGTGGGACATGTTCTGTCCTTGCAGTCTGGTRTCCTCAGTGGTCATGCACACAACGTCGTCTTCCACATTAGCAGGTCCATGCATTGGAATCCCTTACCRGGAACGACTTACCTCGAGTAGGGCTGCCCACCCCCTTTTATTATTGTTTCCTCCCGTTTGCTCTCYGCTGCTTCACCTCCCTCTCCCTTTCGCAGATACCCTCAACCGCAGCCGACCTTCCAGAGCGCGGAGGTGCCGGCCTCCAGCGGCAGCGCCCCGGTCGTGCTCATGGGACACACGGTGCTGAGCGCCGGCTTCGCCGCCAGCGCTGCCTCCCTGCCCCCTATGCAAGCGGCGCCGCGCCAGCGCCCGCAGCAGCAGCACTACCTGCAGGTAGGGTGGGCGCAGGGGCACACGCGCCCTCGCCAGCCCCACGGATGCCCCCTTTCCAGATGGGTGCGCAGCGTAGCCATAGAGCAAGGCAGCAACACTCATGGAGTGTTTCGAAGCAAGTTATTCATGTGGGACGCTGCAAACGTAACCAGATTATGCTGGGTGTATTTAAAGTGTGTTTCGAGACAYGGAGAGAAACAAAATAATAATAATTGCTGCCTTAGGATTTATTCTGTGCTCTTTATTCAGTGTAAAATTCACTTAGTTTACATGTGAAAAGATGTTTTTTTAATTAGCCGCATCAACATAAAATTAGATCTGGATCAGGTATCTGGATCCCTTCAGTAAATTAACGTATTTCCTCATCTCCACAAGGCAAAGAAGATAAATTGGAGCAGATCACCTGGAAGAATCAGGTGAACTGAAGATACAAACATATATACATATATATATATATTTTTTTTTTAAATAATTCAACACACACTGATAGGGGAAGGGAGGAAAGTGATATCTGTATTAGCTCAGAAGGAGCTGAACTGCCTCTCTAAAACCTGATCACAAATCCACTTGAGTCACCAGTCACTGAAAGAGCATCATCAACCTCAATGATTAAACTCCTGTTTTTGAGCTGGAACCCTTATCATAGCTGGGAAGTAGTAACTGTGGCAGAGTCCACTCCCAAAAAAAGCATCTGCAAAATTCACATAAACTTCAGCCCTACAAGTTTACTATTGTAAACTCAGAAAAAGAAAGGGCTAAAGGCACCTCATGAGCCACCCTAGGCTCCCGTGCCACTCCTGTGTCATTTCTGACATGTTTGTCCAGCCTGTTCTTAAACAGGTTTTTCAGCGACAAATAACCTGAAAATCCTAGAGCAGCCCCTTCCTATTCATGAACCTTCCTCAATGCCTAATTGTAAACTTCTTTGCTGCAACTTAAGCCCATTCCATCTGGTATTAGGGAAGCTGACCCCATTCCAAACACAGCCTCACGAGTAACAGCCAGCAAGCTGGCCRGGTTTTTAAGCGCCCTGCACACAGAGGATGAAGAGCCATAATCTGTGACAGAATGAAACCACACGACGACTTTTATTTTGTCCGTAGGTGCAAGCAGCAAGTTCTTTGCACAGCGAGGAGGCCGATTCTTTGCTCCTGCCATCCTACTCGCCCCAGCAAGGGAATATGGGCTATCACCAGGCACAGCAGCAGCAGCAGCTCACGCCAAGAAGAAGCAATAGCTTATCGTCAGAAGCATCAAATTTACCGCAGCCGCTGCGATAGAGTCCCACCAGCACAACCAATGCACCATTAGCTTTAACCAAGGGGCGCCCGGGGCACAGGAGAGCCGCTCTGTACTTAGTGTTCTGGCTTTTGCACAGGCATTTTTGTCCCCGAGCTCCACGACAGAAGTAGGCCACGGAGCGCGCACTGCTCATTCAGGGCACGCGGGATCCGGCTCGCGCCGTCTCGGGAGCACAGGATGTTCCCAAGCAAAATGAGAGAAAGAAAACGCTGTCCTGTGCGAACCCCGTCAGCGCTGGGTGCCCCGGGCAGGCAGGTGGGTCTCCACGCGTCACCCTGAGCCGCCTGTTGCGGCAGCCTGTGCGCAGGCACACGCGGTACTTGGCCTTCACCGTCTCGGTTCTTGTTGTGTGTGTGAAAAGCACTGCGTCAAAAGGTCTATGGAGGAGAGAACAAAAGATTATTTTTATTATGATTATTATATGTCGTTATTTTGCACAACTGCACAGAGGACAAAACCTAGGCACTTTCTGTAAAGAGAGGTTTCCTTCTTCTTGTGGCCAAATCAGCACATGCAGCGGAGAAGAAAGCCCAGTCATTGGTGACGATGCTCATAACCCTTCATTTAGAATCCAGACAGTATTACGCAGCTTACCCTACCTGACCATCACGTGTCTAAGAGCAAAACAACAACGAAAAAGAAACACTGGACAGTTTCCCRTGTGAATTCCAGTTGCAAAGGAGAACTCGGCTTACAAGCACAATCACGCAGCTCTCCAGGAACCCCACACGGAGCSTTCTCCAACCGGAGGAACTCGCCCACCACTGGCCGCGGGGGAATATGCACTGTGTTCTGGCCCACTGACTCGGGATGCTGCAGACTATGACATATCTCTTTCATTGTAACATTTAGGATTGATTTTTCCTTTAGGGGGGGAAGAAAAAAAAAAAGAAATGCACTTTTCGCTTTTTTTGTATGTTCTCTGTTGATATGTTTCTAAGAAAGATTTTATGTAATTATTAAAGAAAAAGTAGTGTATTGTACAGCTGTTGTAATAATGACCTATTTCTATATAAAATAAAATTATATGGAATTATGTGGAAAATATTTTGTATATGAAATATCAACTCATTTCACAAGTATAAAGGTTGTGCTTGTGTTTTTTTGTGAGTGGATATTTTGTAATAAACTAATGAACTAGAGATGTTTTTGTGGAGGAAACTACTGTTTCATGCTATATACAATTCAAATTATTATTATTATTTTTTCCATTTGATGATGGACAGTTGTCTTTATTTGTAGAATAAAATAAAATAGCCACAAGGCTTTCCTGGAGGACTCGCGCAGATTTTCCTTTGGCGGTTGGACTACGTCGTTCGCTTTGCTAAACTAAATTCTAAAGCGAGACTAAATGAGTATCGTTTTATTTCCAAGTTCTTGCATTCAGTGAAGCAAGAGTGACCCCACCAGATGAAAAATAGAGAAAAATAGAGAAAAATAGAGAAAAATAGAGAAAAATAGAGAAAAGCCTAACTTGGGTACTTGATGTGTGAAGGAGGCTCTGTTCACAGACTCTAGGCAAAGCCTAACTGGGATACTTGGATGTCTTTGGGAGGTTCTCTATTCATTGACTCTAGGCAAAGCCTAACTTGGATACTTGCATGTCTTTGGGAGGTTCTCT